AATGTAGGGGCCTTACTCATTAGAACAGGGGTTTGGTGTTTAGGGTTTAGGGTTTAGGGTTTGGGGCTCCTTTATAGTACCATGATAAAAAGGAGCCCTAACAGTAATATTGGTAGTTATTCAGGCTTGTACAGTAAACCCTCATACCCTAGATAATCTGATATCACTACAGAGAGATGCCACCTTTGTGCCCCTGGTATAAGGTAGGGTTTTAGGTTTGTTTGAGGGTGATCGGTTTAGGCTTTAAGGTTATTCTGCAAGCAGTGTTGTAGCACAATGGGGTGCTCAGTATGAGTCAAAACCTCTGAACCAGCTCCTTCTGTGGGGCGGCGCCCACTTTGGACTTAAGTAGGGGCAAAATCGTCAACATGGGATTCAGGGATGTAGGGTACATTATATGCATCAGTAGTATGTGTTTATTTTTTTTAACACAAAGCCTAAACCCTGAATCCCAAACCCTAAGCCCAAATTATGCACACCGTCCCTTTCTGGGGCCCCATTGGCCTCCGCTCCAGCTTCGAAAGGGACAAGAGAGAAGTCCGGGTAGAGCCATACTGTGCGGCATTGCTCCTGGTGGTCCTCTTAGGGTTTAGGTCCCTAAACCCTAAACCCTAAACCAAAAAAAGGCCTAAAGTTTAGAGTTTATAGGGTTTAGGGCGTAGGGTTTAAGGTTTAGGGCTTAGGGTTTAGGTGGGGTTTAGGATTTGGGGTTTAGAGTTTAAGGGTTGATCTTGGTCATCGTCGTTTTTCTGGTGGTCCTTCCCGTCGTCGTCTTGGTCGGTTGTGGTGGTGGTCGTGGTCGTCCTGCCAGCTTCTGGGTGCACCCGGTCCTTGATCTTTCACTGCTTGGCGATCTAAGCTGGCAGAATTTATGGTTCGACAAGAGGCCATGGCAAAGCCTAAAGCCCTAAAAGCCATACAAGCCTGAAGCCCTGAGCCCTAAACCACCTCCCACCTGGAGGCTCAGAATGCAGTATGGCTATCCTGTACTATGTATCACATGCATCCTGATCATATATGTAGATATATATATATATATATCTACATATAGATATACTTTTTCATTTATAAAGAAATAGTTAAATAGATAATCATATTCTCTATATCTATCTATATGTATATATGTACATATATATATATATATATGAAGAAGCACTGAGGGCAGTAACTTCCAGGGCTTCCAGGAGCGCGACAACCGTAAAACCCGAAAGCAGAGGTTTTCAAACCATTTGGGGGATCCATTCTAGTCTGGTTATAGGGTTTAGGGGTTCAGGGTTTAGGGTTTAGGGTTTAGGATTTAGGGTTACATAGAGGGTCTACAAGGGAGTACCATTACTAGTAGGTTTTGGGCACACCGCGAAGCACAAAACCCAAAACCTTGAAACCCATGGGCTTTGAATCCAAAGAAAACGTCCATAACTTAAGCCCCCCTAATCTTAGTTCCCCAATACCCAACCTTCAAACTTCTTGGTTCGCTGGGGACCGTGCTCATGACCCGACGGGCTTTAAGCTTTTTTTGGGTTCTTAGTAGTAATCTGAAAGTTTAAGCTTTTATTTCCCTGCTTATTGAGGAAGTAGGTAATTACCACCCCGGAAGGCTTGAAACCCACAACCCTGAACCCAGAGAGCCTAATACCCCTTAATTAAGGAACATACCTTAATTTATGAGGGGATTCATATTATGATTTAAGTTATATTCCGTAATGAAGGGGTATTGGGCTGTCTGGGAACCCTAAACCTCCCATTACCAGCGAGGATACCCCCCGGCAGCATGCAAGCCTACCGTTTTCTGGCCGGAGGCTGCGGTTGCGGGAGTTGGGATTAGTCCCCAGTGGGCAAGGGGTAACGCAGGGGCGATAATAGTTCGAATTGGGTTTTGGGATCCATTGTGGTCTGGTTTTGTAGAGGGACCATGAATAAGGAAGTACTGTGACAAGTAGGTTTTGGGCATCCACTATAGCATTGCATGGTCATATAGAGACGATCAATACCATTTCCTCAAAGGGTAGAGCGCTTGCGATCGTATTGGCTTCTTGTTCCGTCTTCAAACAACATTTCTGGAAGGTCTCCATCCAAGGTTGGGGCTTCAGGCTTTAGGGATTCCCGATTTGAAAAACGTCTTGGGGTTTGGGGCTTACCTATAGTCTCCATTATAGTTCCTTTTTTTGGTTTAACCATTTCTATATTAAGGATTCTATAAGGTATCCCCAAAAAGGAACTACAATGGAGACTATAGGTAGGGCTTTGTATTCAGAAATGCTCGCCGTGATATCTTGGGACCCACTGTCGGCTCGTTGCTGCCCGCCTTGTAGCAATCTGCTTGTTCTTTCGAGCTTCGCTAGTGACACCAAGTGCTCCGTCATGGCCGTCATCCGCAACATCTCAGCCACCCTCTTCGGTGCAGTGGTGGCGAACATGCTGCCGTTGCTCTTCTTGCAGGCGGGCATGAGCAGCGTTTCCGCCAAGTGGGCCTGGATGACAAGCCCACCTAAGTGTGCCTCCGTGGCGCCCGACACTTGGGACTTTGACGGCCAGGCCACAATCGCCGCCGGCACTGCAGGCACCGTTACTTGCAAGAATGGCGGTACTCCTTCGGTCTCCCCAGTCAACTGTCCCATGAGCAACGAAAACGCCACTCAACCATCCGAAGATGCGGCTTGGTGGGGCATTTGTGGCTTCGGGGACTCCTGCGCCGCGGAGATGACCATCGGCACCAGCGTGACGGGCTGCACGGCACCCACCACCTCACAGAACGCTGCAGACGTGGGCGGCAGCGTGCACTCCGCCGTCCTCTCCGCCGCCTCCGCTGCAGTGGGCATGGCGGTGCTCCAGTAAAGCAGAGCACTTGTGCAGAGCGTCTTTTGTCTGAGACAAAAGGCATTTTCCGCAGAGCTGTGACCTTACCAGCTTTGCGTTTCCGCTTCTTGGACTCGAAGGGTCCTCCAGGAGTTTTCCCGAATGCAAGGAACCGCTTGTACAGAACGAGTTCCTGTGCCTAAGACACTTCGGCCCTTCACAAAACAGCCCAGACTCTGCCGATGCCGAACCGGCGACCCCCCCGCATTGCCCCACGCTGTCTCCAGAGTCCGTCCTTAGTAGCTGAATTAGTATCCTTTACATATTAGGAGATTTATAACCCAGTTTATAGCTATGAACCCCCCAAGTAAGACACAGCAACGACAGCAACCACGCAACATTACCTTTCAACCCTACACTGTGAATGCTATGTAGGAAGCCCCAAACCCTGTTTTCTAGGATGGTAATATTCGATCCCTTAATGTTTAGAGGTTTAGGGGTATATAGTATGGTTATATATACTATACAACTGTTTTAGGGTTTAGGGTTATATAATATGGTTCTAGATACACTTGCCATATACCCTTGAAGCTTGTTGTAATAGGTAAGGCCCTTGTATTCATCGTGTTAGGCTACCATACTCAGGGTTGGAGAAGACCAAGAGCTTGGTGAGGGGTTCCCTGGGCTTACCTAAGGGGTTTAGGGTGCCATGCCATGCTAGACGGCTTTTGCCCCCATCATGGCAACTTGCAGGGCTTCAGAAAGCAAGGAGCCCTACCTTATATACCTAAACCCTCAACCCTAAACCCTACACCTTAAACCCTAAACCCTAAACCCTGAAACCCTAAACCCCAACCTAGAACCCAAAATAGTAGGATCCTGATGCTAAGAACTCCCAAAAGGGACCCGAGGAACTGCCGGATGCAGTTCCTCAAAGAGAAGCCGCCCATCGGTGTGAAGAATTCAAGCAGCCTTTCTGTGGGGTACTTGGAGGCCCAGGGGACTTAGTAAGTCGCGTATAACTGGGGTTATAATTGGGGTAACTCCAGTTAGGGCACTTATAACGATCTACTTGTATAACCTCCTTACTAAGTCCCCTGGGCCTCCAAGTGCACTATCGTATACGTCTAAATATTGTCATATAGGACTACTACCAAGCCTGTATAGTAGACCCGACATCGGACGTATTAGGATGCTAAATTCCCCGATGCTCTTAATTTCAAAGCCTAGAAGCCCGAACGAGTCCTTGTAGAAATGTTGGACGGTGACCTTGAACTGTAGGGTTCACGGAAACACAAGTAAGTTGTAAGCAGCTAGTCGCCCTGGTCCGATGGGGAACACACTTCCTTAGTCACGTGCCAAAGAGGGGAACCCATCCTATGGCTGCTGTAGGGTTTTTAATGTACCGCTATCATCTGAGGGACCCCAATCCTCGAAAAAGCAAAGCACGTGGAAAGAACCTGTAGGTTGTTTACCAAAACAAAGACCCCTTAAAACACAGAGCTTGCAGACCCTGTAAATGCTCAACACAAGCCCTGTCGCAACCTCAACACAAACCCTAACAAAGGCCTGTTGCCAGCCCTACACAACCCCTATACAAGCCCTTCACCTGAAACCTAAATCCATCTAAACCCTAAGCCATAAAGTTCCGAAAATTTTATAAAGCCCAAACCCAAAACCCGAACCCCAAACTCTAGCCCCGGTTTAGGGGTTAGGGTTTAGGGTTTAGGGCCCCAAAGCCCAAGCCCTTCGAAAGATGGGGCCCTGGCAAGGTGGGAAGTCCCGTGAGCTCGGCGGCAGCGGCTGTGGCCGTCCACTATCGAGCAGACTGTGTCAAAGGCACAAGGGTTCCCTTTTAAGGGTTCCTACAAGGGTACTAGAAGAGGGTTCCTTCAAAGGGGGTCATGTTTGAGGGTTCCTTTTGGGGTCTATAAGGGTTTAGGGCTCCTTTAAAGTTAAAGAGGTCATGTTTCAAAGGGCCCCTTGTATATAAGGGTTCCGTTACAGGGGGTTGTGCTGCTTTCGCGCCATGGACCAGCCAGCTACTGAAGGTCTGACGGCGGAGATCAGGTTGAAAGGATTCAGAGGCACCGGTTTACTGGGTTCTGGTCAAGGGGGTTTAACTAAGTGACCATAAGGGGTTTAATTAAGTTACCATAATACGGATTTGTTCTAAATAATATGGGAGTTTCCGGAAATAGGGGACCCTAATATAGTACCCTAAATAATAGGATCCTTATTATAAGGACCCCAAAATAAGGTACCCCAATTGTCGGAAACCCCCCTTTTGGTTTCTTTTCGTGCACTTCCCGGGTGGGTCTGATTTTTCGAGGCTTCTTTACAGGGTTTATGTTTTCCCAGACCCCCGGGAGGATCCAAAAAGTAGATCCCTTTAGGGGGTTCCTATAGAGTACCCTTTAGTAGTTAGGGTCCCAAATTAGGGGATCTGCTTTTTTAGATACTCCCGGGGGTCTGGGTTAGGGTTTTGGTGGCTTTCGGGTTCTCCTGAGGGCTCCTATGAAGGATCTCTGGGGTTTGTCGCTGGAGGGCCTTTGGGTTAGCACAGGGCTCCTTGAAGGGACCTGTTTAGGCAATGTAGGGGCCTTAAGATTTAGACTATAGGGTTTTGGGGCCCATTATACTATACGTATAATAAGGAACCCCCAAAACAATATCGGTTATTGTTTTGGGTTCTATCTGCGTTTGACAGGGATATAGTATAAAGGGTTTAGACACGTTGTCCGGGATCGTTTCGGGATTCTTGTGCAGCTTCATGTCTGTAATGGAGACCCAACAAGAGCAATAGAAGTAGCACGTGACACAGTAGTTACTGGCACAAAACACTGTGACATGCTATAGCAGAAAGGAGTTAAAGACACCCGGTAATACATCCTTTCTCCTGAAACGAAACTAACTTTCCTCACTTTATCGGGTGTGTTTGAGCGCTGAAGCCTTGCAAAGGTCTCTACGATATTGCAGCCGTGGCCCGTTGATCACAACAAAGCGCGCCCCACAAACCCCTGAACCCCTAAGCCCTAAACGTCAAACCCCCACACCCACACCCTAAACCTTCCGGAAGTTCAATTCGACACAGCGGCTTCTGCAACAGCGAGCAGGGAAGTCTGGAGGGGAGCACCTGCCCCAATTGTACATTATGTAAAGCTATCTCTTGGCCTGCTCATGCATGGCCGTCCGGTCCTTGAAAAATAAATCCTAAACCCCAAGCACCCTAACCCCCCTAAGCCCTAAACCCCTAAACCCCTAACCCCCCTAAGAGCTGAACCCCTAAACACCCTAAACCCCCTAAGCCC